CGTCGAGAAACTCTTTCTTTTGCTGTTGGTCAGCATTTTCTGCCAAGACAAAAAGAACGACAAAATTCACTTACTGAATACAATTTTCCTAAACTGCTCTCAAACTGGTCGAAGATCCTTTTCTCAGGTCAAAGGGTATGTGCAGCCTAAGATAGGTCATTTCCTTGTAGCCTTTTGTCTCGGTGTCAAAACCAGTCTTTGTGCCAAACCGTTCATATGAAAATGTGTTTCCCCTTCGGGTTCATTTTCAATCAAGTCAAATTCATTTTCATATGAAAGGTTTTGGACAGGGACTCGTTTTGGAACAGAGGCACAAGATAACCAGGAAATGGCCTAATGAATTTATAAATTAATTTTGTGAACACTTTGAATTGTAGTCAGCTATAATTGCTATCGTCAAGATGATAAAGCGTAGATGACATACATGTACATGTAACTTAGACGATAAGAATTTTCAAATCTCTATCAGCGACTTTTCTGTAGTCTTCTCTACAGCTGTTATTCTGGTCGACAAGCGATGCTTCTTAGTGTGTTTGAAGATCGTCATACAGTGCTGCTAAAAATTAAGCAACCCGTTCTCTCTCGAGAGGTCTCGTTTCTCTCGAGGCGCCTCTCGTTTCACTCGCGTCATTCCTCGTCTATCGCGTGTACTGTGAGTACACGTACCAAAGTTTTGCATTGTAGAGGCACACAATACCATGTCAACGTCGATTTGATAAATAAACTGAATGATTAAAAACAGATGAATTGAACAATTCACGACACAACGAACCACTCTGACCTAGCATACCAACCTTTCAACATCTTAACAGCAACAACTTGAATGCCTTGCTTTGTCGTCAGGAAACCTTTCATGACCATACCAAAGTGACCGGAGCCCAGTTTCTTATCAAGACGTACATTTCTCTTGGGCACCTCCCACTGCTTCGGTCGAGGGATTGATGCATACTCACTACCAGCTCCTGCTGCCATGGCCGCGGCAGCATAAGGCCTGATGGTAACGTAGGAATACGTGTCACTTCTCTCTGGCGTAGGCTGGTTGGAATTCGGATCCGCGTAAGCATATTGCTCTTCTCCCTGTGTACATAGAGAATAATACATGGGCGCACGTAGATATGGAATTTCTCTTTAAGTATTCAACTCGATGCGATGTCTCACTCGTGAGCTGCGCTCACTCGTGAGGTATAAAGTTGAACACGAGAAGAAAAATCCCTTATTTACAAAGCAACCATTACTTCATTAACATACTAAAAAGACGTTTTTGACTATTTTCCGAAGATTTCCGACCACTTTCGGAAGGTTTCCGAAGATTCTCCAAAAGTTGTCTGAAGGCCACACGAACGTTTCCACGCATTTTCCGAAGATTTCCGAAGATTGCTGACGACCTCCGAGGAAGACCCGAACCTTTTTCGATCATACACCAACAACTTTAATTACAGTTAAAGGGTAGAACTCCGCAGTTTACATAATATGGTTATAGTTTGTATGGAAATTCAGAAACAATTCCTTTACTCTTTGTGCCAGAGTGGCGCATAAGGACAAATTCGCAAACAAATATCTCTCCTTTAATGATACAGCCTGTACGAAGCCTCTGAACAGGTTCTTACGCCGCCTTTCTTTTGGCTCGCCCACAGTCTCCTCTCCCCTGCGGATGTTGCGGAGGAGTACGTGCAAGCCTTCAAAACGCCTGGGAGGAGGAGGAGGAGGCTAGTTCCAGATTTCTAAGTGAGCTGGCTGTAACCATAGTTAGTAGAGGTCTCCTCTACTAACTATGCTATCACCCATTAGTATAAATCTGTTAGCGTTCTATCAAGAATGCCGTTCTCTGATTGGCTACGCTACTCACTATCTATTCTGTGATAAATAGTGAGTAGCGCAGCAGTGTGTGCTTGTTAGCAGGATGACAGCCGCTTCTTTGCATTTTCGAGACGTCTGTGAAGAGTATATCTAGATAAAGTTTTGAATGGCTAGTAGTTTCATACTAAAGCAATTAGATTATTCGCTCTCGATTTCTATGAGCGATAGTTGACTTGGGCTGCGCCTTCGTCAACTAACACGCGATAGAAATCTCGAGCTCATAATCTAATTGCTTCATGGATATTTGAGCCATGCATGAACACCAATATACAG